CCCTGCCCTCTGGCACTGGGAAGCCATTCCCTGTGTCCTGTCCCTCCATCCCTTGTCCCCAGTCCCTCTGCAGCTCTCCTGGAGCCCCTTTAGGCCCTGGAAGGGTCTCCAAGGTGTCCCTGGAGCCTTCTCCAGGTGAGCATCCCCAGCTCTCCCAGACTGGCTCCAGCCCTCAGAGCATCCCTGTGGCTGTTTGGGAATAAAAGGAATCTGCCTCTTGACAATCACTACCAGCACAAGCAGCTCTCCCAGAGCACCTGGCAGCACCTCTGCTGCCTTTCAGGACATATTTAATCACCCCACCCAAAGGGAATTGCTGTTATTCCTGCTTGTCATTCCACAAGAACTGGGACAGCCTTGCCCTGCATTCCTAATGCTGAAGTTGTGCTCCATCTCCAGGCACAGATTTCCCAGGACATACAACCCAACAGTGAACAGAGGAAAATGCACTGGTTTATCATCCACAGGAGCAGCACTGATTCCCTGGAACCCCAGCTATGGAAACTTTTCCTTCCAGTTCCCACCTAAGCAGGAGAGGGGAAGATCCAGCTCAGTGCAGGCACAGCCAGAACACAACCAGTCCCCAGCACCCAGGGCAGCCCTGGAAGGAGCAGGAACTCACCTATCTCACGTTTCCTCTCATTTGTTGTGCAATTGTGGAAGAACTCTGTCATCAGACTCTCCAGAGCCCGCAGTGAGGCCTCTTCTGATGCCTGGGAATGACAAGGAAGGAAAGAGATAAAACTCATTCCCACTCTGACACAGGAGGGTGGCATTAGAACATCACAGATGCACCAAAACCCAACATGAGCAGGGCAAGCAACTGGGAACTCAAATTGCTCACTGGTGTCAAGGAGCAGCAGGATTTGTCCACTGCAAGTGAAAGCTTTGGGCATGAAGGACCATTTTCTCAGCTCCATTAATAAGGACAAGAACACAACAAAATTCCTTTATTTGGATGGCATTCAGGAATTTTAAGGCAATAAATAATTCTCACAAAGACAGCAAGTTCGAGTAAAGATGTTGCCAGATGTTTAGAAATCATAAATATTTTATCATGGGAAGCTTTGGGAGGATTTCTCCTGGCCATCAGAAGGAATTTCTTCCCAGAAAGGTGATCAGATATTGCCATGGGCTGCTCAGGTGGGTGGCAGAGTCCCCATCCCTGGAGGTGTCCAAGGAGGAGCTGGATGTGGCACCCAGTGCTCTGGGCTGGGGATCAGTCACAGGTTGGATTTGGTGCTCCTGGAGGTCTTTCCCAGCCTCAATTCCATGATCCTGTGACCCCTGACACCTCTTCCTGTCTTTGCTTTGGTGCCATCCAGCTGCTCAGGAAGTTTGAAAAATTAAGGAATTTCCAACACTCTAAAAAGCAATATACCAGTATTCAGCAATCTGATTTGAGAAGAACAGCACCCCTCCCCCTGTCCCCCCAAATTTAGGTTTTATTTTTGGAAATCATTAGTTATAGTTTTAAGTCCTAAAGAAATGATCAAGATTAGCATCCAGCTGTAGTTCTGGAGTGCTCTGGAGTTGGGATGATTTTATTCTGGCAAGGTAACAGCCTTGGAAGCAGCCCTCCTGCAGCACAGACCATGCCATAGCTGTGTCTCCAATGTTTTCAACCCATGCTATCAATAATAAATGCATCAAGATTCAAGCCCAGACCTTCAAGCACAGGAACAAAGTAAACATTTAAAAAAACTGAAATTTCTGCCACAACAAAAACCCTAAAGCAGAAACAAAAGCTGTGCCTGGCAGTCTCCTGCAGAGAAGAGCATGAGAGAAATCCTGCAGGAATACTCCAGATTTCTGCTAATCCCCATTGCCATGCACTGCAGTTTTCCCAAGGGCCAGGCAGCAGGAGCCCCTCCTCAGGGATAAACCCCCAGGACACCAACAGCTCCACACTGAGGGCTCTGCTCTCCAGCAGCTGGGAATGGATGCTCTGCAGGACACCAAACATTTCCATTTACAAAGGAATACTGGATTCCATCCTACCTTTCCTCTTCCTGCCCTGCTTTTTCCTTTTCTCCTTGCTTTTTAAAGCCCTCCTCTAGAAATCAAGGACAATTTTAGCAAGAGATGTTGGTAGTGGGAAATTGGCTTAAAACAACCAATAATTCAAGCAGAGCCACATTTGCAGCTCAAGTTTCCAGCTTTAATCCATTTCTGCTTGGGCTGCAAACTTCCCTTCAGCCACAGACCAGCCTCCTGCCAGTCTCCATTCCCAGATAACAGCACCTCTGTGGATAAAAGCCTCACTTTAAAAAGAAATATCTGACAAAGTGGAGTCCTTCATCACTTAGGATAGGGCCACACTGCTATTTGTGGGAGCTAAGTTTTCCTAAGCTCCTCCCAAGCAGACCCACACATACAAATCCAGGATTTTCCTGAATCCTTGCACTTTCCTTCTCTGCTGCTCAACACAGAGTGAGTCTCAGCAGCAGTTTCTGATGCCAAACCCCCAAAGATGAATTTCCAATTTCAATTTGATGCAAATTCCTCCAAGAGCAGCATTGCTCTCCCACTCCACCTTCTACCATCCAATACCAAGATCACCTCAATCCATGGAAAACTCTTGGTCCTTCATAGGGTGGAGGGGCTCAGACATCTTTGGATACTTAATTCAATCCTTCTTCAGCAAGAGCAGTTGACATAAATACATTTCTTCCAAGATTCAAGATTTATGTCCTGCTTCTGGAAATAAATTATGGAGTTCTTATAAATCTTGAGCATCTGCCTTGTCCTCCACTGACTTTAGCACTGAGATTTGGAAGATCCTATTCCTTAGTTAATCTTCCAAAGTTAATCTTCCAAAGCAGAACACCATGATCACGATGCTCAACATGTGAAAAGCAGGAAAGAAAAGAAACCAGAGAGCACAACACGAGGATTTCATGCAAAAAAAAAAAAAAAAAAAAAAAAGCCCAGGCTGGAGAGCACTCAAGGCCACTCAAGTGGGACCTCCAAGATTGTGCTCTCCTCTTGTTTGACTTCTTGTGGCTCTTTGGGAGGTTTGGCCAAAGGAAAAATTGTGTGAGGTAACCAAAGCCCAGTTCAGGATCCTCTTCTAACTCCAGGCTGGATTCAACAAGGACCTGCATTTGCTGCTGCCTTTGGGTATTCCTCAAGTTCCCCAGATCCTGGGGGCACACGGCATCCCCCAGCTGCCCAGCAAGGCTCTGGTAAGGTGGCACTGAGACAAGGAGGTCACATGCTCTGCAGAGCTGCACCTGGACCCACACACCTGGGAAGTTGGTTAGTGAGACTCCAATAAAAATCCAGCTGTTTGGAACACCTGGAATATTTCCTAGTGTTAGTCCCATGGTAACAAGCAGTTTGCTTTCTTTTAGGGCTCCCTGCTTACTCTGCATTGAGGAGAAGGACAGGCAGGAACAGCAGTGCTGAGTTCAGGTTCTGGTCTGAAATCCTGGCTCGTGCACAGATTTTATATTCCAAGGATTTCAAGGAAAGTGTGGGCCATCAGTAACAGAATCCATCCCAGTTTTCTGTGTCAGGGCTGGCAGTTTGCCTCATCTCCATGAGGCATTACCAAATATGCAACTACTGAAACAGAAACACTTCCCACTTTCTTTCAGAAGTCAAACCTGACCCCTCTCACCCCTAGCGCCTCCCAGGGCTAGATCAAACATCAGAAAATACCATTTCTCTCCTCTGCCATCCATTAGAGGAAAATCTATTCAGTTCTTCAAGTCCTGCTTGCAGAGCAGGTAACATGAGCTTTTCCCCATGAAAACTCTGCAGCTCACAAAAAGCAGAGGAGATAAGATGTGCCACGTCACCATCCACTCCTGCTCCACCGCCTCAACACCCTGGCTGAGCTCTGACCCACAGGGAGGGTCCTGCCTGCCAAATTCAGCAGATCCTGTGGCCAAAGGTGATGTCCTTGTCACAGCTCCCTTAGGGGAACAAGGCAGTGAGAGGTGAAAGCAAGCAGGGCTAAATCTAACACAGCCACAGCTGCAGATTCCCGTGGTCCAGCAGCACATCCATACTTTGAGCTGGAATTTTGGGTCAGAATAGCATCTCTGGGAGGGGTGGCACAGGTGACTGTCCCCAAAATAGGTGTCTCTAAGTGCTGAGCTGTGTCCACAGCACACAGAGCAGGCAAGCAGCAGCTCAGCTCCAGCTCTGCTCCTCCTGGAACTGCCCCATCTGATCTTGCTGTGGGTCAGGGTGGGAGAGAGCCACTGTCAACCTGTGTCCTTCCCATCGTGTGTCCCCTCAGCAGTTTGCTAAAGGTGTTTCACACCACTATCAGATAAGGGGTGGAGCTGCTTACTCATTCCAGTTATCTCTGGACTCCAACCCTCTGTGCCCTCCTCCAACCAGGAAAATGAGCTCCAACAGCTCCTTTTCCTGACAGAAAACACAAGATTTGCTACCAAGAACCTGCACATCCAACAACATTCTCCATCCATCAAATCACCGCGAGAAGGACCCACCCCCCCCCAGCTGATTTCAGGGCTATCCTCCAGTTATTTTAAACCATATGAGTCATTAACTGATTTCTGCTGATTAGGAGAAAAAAAAAAAAGCTGCCAAGCTCCTGCATTTCAGGCTGTTCAATATTGCAGCTGCACTTCAGTGAGGCTCTGGAGAAGCAAAATCTTTGTACCCTGCTGCTGACTCCATGACAAGCTCAGATGCAGACTGTGACTAAAGCACTGGGGTAGAACGAGTTACTCATCCAGCTCCAGCAAACAACAGAGCAGCGATCCTTGGGCTGCAGTTTAGACACTGCACATGCACTTGAAGAGCAGATACAGTGCTAATTTTAGTTTGCATATCACCAAACACAACCACAGCCTTTAAAAAAGCACCTGCTCATTCTGCAAGACATGGAAGTGCTTTCTAAAGCCATTTTCTCCACAAGTGCTTTCATTTAGAGTTCACTTCCTCTTTTTTTTTATTTCATTATATGCTCTCCGAAGGGATTGTTTTGTTGAGGGGAGAGCTTTTCTCTACTGCTTTGCCATAAAAACACAAGCTGTTAACCTTGTAGTGTTTGCCTTTAGAGCATCCATCACACAAACAATGCTCTAAATACTGCAACTCGGGCTGATGACAACTAAGAGAAGGGTTAGGTTCAGCTTTTCCCTAATGTGTTTGCAAATGGATATCACTCCAAGACAAATTTAAGGCATTCCCTCTCCAGAGCTTTTTTTAGTAAGATGTTAATTGCAGCTGCAATGTTACAGAGGTGACTTCATCCTTCAGGCAGCGCTGGAGCACGTTCCTGATGTGGAAAGATGGATTTTACACCACACAAGCTCCCAACACCTCCTCCAGGGGCAGGGAGGAAAAGCCCTGGCTCTGCTGCACCCCTCACAGCGGATCGAACCCTGCCTTGTGCATCTCTACTCTTTATTTAAAGACAGGAGTTGTGCTGGGGAGTTGTTCCCACCCCCTGCACCCATCCTGGTTGGAATTGAACGCCCACCCGGTCCATCCCTGCCTGCAGTCCCTGTGCAGCCCCTGCTGCTGCTGTGTTTAACACCTCCCAGCACACTGAGCCCCCACACCCTGCACTGACAGCAAGCACAGATCCCTCTGCAGCTTCCTCACTTTCTGGAGCCTGCCTCTCCATCCTCATCCTCATCCCAATCCCACCCACTCCCCTCTCCTGCCATTGCCAGTGCAAGACACACAGCCCAGCACAGCCCAGCCTCCTCCCAGTTATCAGCAT